CCTGTGTGTGTGTGTGTGTGTGTGTGTGTGTGTGTGTGTGTGTGTGTTCATGTTATGGTATACCTGTGCAGTCCTCCAGCTTGAAAGGTGGAGGCCGGATCAGGAATTCAAGGCCATTCTGGGATACAAGATATTCTGTCTTAAAAAAACAAAAGGAAACAAAAAAACCAAACAAGAATGAGACACCATGGGCACAGGCCTTGATCCGAACACTGAAGACAGAAGCGGGTGGATCTTTGTGAGTTTGAGGCCAGCTAGTTTCTAGCTAGCCAGGGCTACATAGTGTGTCCCTGTTGAAAAAAAAAAAAACAGAGGGGAGCGGGGCGGGGGTGGTGGTGAGGAAATGTTGCTGGAGAGATGGTCTGAGATTGAGGGCACTTGCTGCTCTGGCAGAGCCTGGGTTCGATTCCCAGCACCCACATGGCAATATGGCAGCTCACAACCTCCTGTCACTTTGAGTTCCAGGGGATCTGAGGCCCTCCTCTGGCCTCTGTGGGCACCAGGCACTCATGTGGTACACAGTATACATGCAGGCAAAACAATCATGCACAGACATAAATATATATATATATATTTTTTTTTAAAGAAACCCAAAGAGGAGCAATAAGTGGTATGGGGCCCCAGAGGGCCAGGTGCTGACCCCTGACACCACATGACTTTAAAACAGGCTGAGGACCCGAGAGGCCACGGCAGACTCCACTACTTGCTTCTGCAAAGAAATTGCCCTTGTCTCTTTCTGTTCCCCTTTGCAGTGGATTCCAAGCACTGCAATGTCCCCAATTTCTCGGAACCCTCACATCACCCCTGAGGTAGGTGGAGAAGTTTATTATCAAGGCTTTGCAGCTGAAGGCTGAGGCTCTCATTCATGTGACTGGCCTGGGTCACAGGGCTAATAAGAAGTTGAGCTCTCTGCTTCCCAAAGTGTCCGGGAGGCATTCCTCAGCTGCCAGCTGCTCTAGAACTCCCTGGACTTCCAGAGAAGTCAGGTGAGGGGACCTGCTGTCGTCCCTGCCCATCATGCTCCGAATCCCAGCTGCAGGAACAGAGGCCACTTGTTATTTATCGGTCCTTGCTTCTGATTTCTCAGCTATAACATGAGGCAGAAAATAATCACTCCGTGGAAAGTGAGATGTACGCACACACGGGGCCCTGGGGATGGGGCTCATGGGCTGGAGAGCGTGCTGAACCTCCTGGGCACGGTGTCTGAGGTGGTGCCAGACACAAGTGGAGGTTCTCTTTCCTCTAAGTCCCACTGCAAAACAGAAAGAACCGTTTATGGCACGGTCTACCCTCCCCTCTCCCTGCTGACGCAGTCTCCGTCCTTACAGCTTTAAAATTAATTAATTTAATTAGTCACTTTCTTGGGTTTTTTGTTGATGTTGTTGTTGTTTTGTAGTCTTGGCTGCCTTGTAACAATCCTCCTGTGTGTGTGTCTGTGGTGTGGTGTGTTTATTTCAGACAGGGTCTCACTGTGTAGACCAAGATTGAAGGCATACATCGCAACACCTGGTTGTTGTTGTTGTTGTTTAATTTTATTTTCATTTTCGGTGTATGAGTGTTTTGCCTGCAGTGTATGCATATGTACCACGTGAGTGCCTGTCCGAGGAGGCCAGAATGCCTCAGATCCCCTGGCACTGTAGTTACAGATGATTGTGAGCTGCCATGTGGGTGCTGGGGATTGAACCTGAGTTTTCTGGAAGAACAGCCAATACTCTTAACTGCTGAGCCATCGCTCCAGTCCCGGTTGCTATTGTTTTTGAGATGGGTTCTCTGTAGCTCAGGTTAACCTTGAGCTCCTTATGAAGCTTGAGGCTGACCTTGGATTTTTTTTTTGTTTGTTTGTTTTTGTTTTTGTTTTTCGAGACAGGATTTCTCTGTGCAGTTTTGCGCCGTTCCTGGAACTCGCTTTGGAGACCAGGCTGGCCTCGAACTCACAGAGATCTGCCTGGCTCTGCCTCCCGAGTGCTGGGATTAAAGGCGTGCGCCACCACCGCCCGGCTGACCTTGGATTTTTTAAAAATGTTTTATTTGTTTTCATTTATGTGGATTTGTACGCCTGCGCAGTGTCCATGGAGTCCAGAAGAAGGCGCTGTAGTCTGTGGACTTGGAGTTTCAGGTGGTGCTAAACTGTGTGCCCGATGTGGGTGCTGAGAACTGAGCCAGGTCCTCTGCAGATGCAGCAAAAGCATTCAGTGCTCTCAACCTCTGAACCATCTCTCCAGACCTAACCTTGGAATTTTCATCCTCCTGCCTCTGTGCCTCCAGAGCTTGGAGTACAGGGATGTGCCAGCATACTCAATGCGGGCATGGAACCTGGAGCTTTGAACATTCTAGGCAAGTACTCTACCAACTGAGGCACATCCCCAGGCTCACCTGATTGTCTGTCTGTCTGTCTGTCTTTTTTTCTACCTTTTCCCCCACCCCAGTCCTCAGAGCCTTGAGTAGGCTTAGAAGACAATCTACCACAGACCTATAACCCAAGTCCCAGTGTTTAACTTTTCAAAGTACTTCCTTAACTGGTCACCTCAGGAGAGTCTGACGGCCTTTCCTGTAAGGTAAATGGAACCCAGCCAAGGATGGTGGCACACACCTGTTATCCCAACACTCAAGAGTCCAAAGCAGGAGACTCCTCAACTGGAGGTTAACCTGGGATACATGCTGAGGCCTGAGCTTGGTTCTTTCATGACTGCCCTGAGGCAGGAGACACTGTCTTAGCAACCAGACTCGTGTAGCCCAAAGATAACCCGGAACTCTTGAGGCTCTCCTGTCTTCTGCTCTCAAGGGCAAGAGATTATAGGCGCTCACAACCGCGCCCAGGCTTATCCTCTGCTTCCAGTTCTGTGTTCCTGGAAATCCTGGCTGAGCGGTGTGGCTTTCCTTTTCTACCTCTGGAGGGGGGGGGAGGGTGCTAGGAATGCTAAGAGCCAAGTGAGAGTCTGCAAGCTCAGGATTGCCCTGGGGAACGAACAGCGGAGTTGGGGGGGGGGGGTTAGGGATGGAATTGAGGGTAAGAGCACTTGCCTACTATATCCAGGAATTGGGGCAGGGGCTGTTGGGAGGGAAGAACCCAAGCAATACGGAGTAACTCAGGGACCCTGGTTCTCAGCCCACTGGGCCTTCTACGCAAGCTGAAGACCTTGCTTGGACGTTTAGCGTGCCGCTAGCTCACTCCAGCCCAGGCTCCATCCCCAGTCACAACTTGAAACGGGGTCTGGGGGCTGGAAGGGCAGAATAGAATAGGGCAGATTCTATCAGCCGGCCAAGACCAGCTAGATGCTGACTCCTACAAGCAGGGGAGGGTTCAAAGGTCAAAGGGTGCTGTTCTCTAGAGATTCCCGAATCTACTCAGTCCCTGAATATCTCAGAACACCTTGACCGAGCCAGGGTGCGACTCAGTTTCCTCACATTTATAACAGGAAAACAGATTAGATAATGTTTCTCTGCTGCCCTCCTGATAACTCCAAAGGGATTTGCCTGAGGTGGCCAGTGATACATGAGGACGTTTCCCTTCCCGCCTCCCACAAGCAGGCTCTCTCTGTGTAGCTCTGGTTGGCATAGAACTTAAAATCTCTCTGGCCTTAGCCTCCATGATTCTGGAATTGTAGACCCATGCTACCATACCTGGCACTTACAGGAAATTTTATTTATCATTGTTTATATACATATCATATATATTATATATATATTTTTTTTATTTTATGTTCATTGGTGTTTTGCCTGCATGAATGTCTGTGTGAGGGTATCAGAAGCCCTGAAACTGGACAGGTGTGAGCTGCCATGTGGGTGCTGGGAATTGCACCTAGGTCCTCTGGAAGAGCAGCCAGTGCTCTTAACCACTGAGCCATCTTTGGTTTTCCAAGACAGGGTTTCTCTGTGTAGCTTTGGAGCCTGTCCTGGACTAGCTCTGTAGACCAGGCTGGCCTCGAACTCAGAGATCCTTCTGCCTCTGCCTCCTGAGTGCTGGGATTAAAGGTGTGTGCCACCATTGTCTAGCTTGGAAATTTTATTAAAATTTTATTATAGTCAGATGGTGATGGTGCACGCCTTTAATCCTATCACTTGGGAGGCAGAGGCAGATGGATCTCTGTGAGTTTGAGGCCAGCCTGGTCTACAAAGCAAGTTCCAGGACAGCCATAGTGGTTACACAGAGAAACCCTGTCTTGAAAGGTAAAAAAACAAAACAAAACAAAACAAAAAAAACAAACAAACACACAAAAACTTTGTTATAGACAAGGCATAGTGGTGCACACCTTCTACCCTAGCATTCCAGCACTCCAGAATCTGTGAGTTCGAGGCCAGCCTGGTCTGCAGAGCAAGTCCCAGGCCAGCCAGGGCTACACAGTACATTGCACACTTTCATGAAAGAAAGAGTACAGAAATCTAATCAGTGGAGTCAGGGACGTCGTAGCTCAGGTGTCAGTGGGCTTTCCTGCCACGTAGGAAGCCCCGCATGCCTGTCATCACACCTCTTAGGACCTAGTCAGCATGGAGGGAAGCATCTGAGTGAGTGAGTGAGTGAGTAAGTGAATGAATGAATGAATGAATGAATGAATACAGGGGAGGGCTCCTTCTAGAACCACATATTGGTGCAGTAATGGTGACCTGGGCTCCCAAGGAGCTCGTCTGTCTTGCTCTCTGTGGGCCACATCTTTCTCTCTGCATCAAGCGAGCAGTTATTTATCTGTCCCCTTGGAGGCCATGGCGTTTGGAAGGAAGGAGGCTAGTTTCCTGGCAAAATGTGACCCAGAGGACCATCTTTCTCCCACCTCCCAAGCCCCACCAAAAGAGAGGAGGGGGGCGAGAGAGAGAGAGAGAGAGAGAGAGAGAGAGAGAGAGAGAGAGAGAGAGAGAGAGAGAGAGAGAGAGAGCGACGGAGAGGCTATCAAGGATGCTTCCTGTTTTCCTTTCCTGAAGTATCCTGGATGGATAAGCCTCTGGGACTTGGGGACAGGCAGGATGGCTTTTAACCCTCTGCTAGCTCCCACATTTGAGCTGCCAGCCTTGGATGTCCCTGGTGGATTTTATGAGCAGCTGGGGATTGAACCCAGGGCTTTCTGAACACTTGGCAAGCACTCTGTGGACTGAACTCTATCCCACCCTAGCTTTTTAACCTCTTGAGGGGCCATTCATTCATTCACCAGTCAATGATGCCTTCTGCCCAGTATCCACTCTATGTGAAGATCTGGGGATACAGAGGTGGTCAGGATGGGGTCCCCAATCTCATTAAGCGTAATGACCCCCAAGTGCTGTCGTGAGGAAGCACCACACACTGGGTGCTAACAGCAAGCACATGGGTGTGATTTCTTCACCTCAGACCAGAAACTTGCCAGGATAGTGGTAGCTAAGCTTCCCACAGGCACCGAACTGGTGGGTGTAAGGATGGGTTGGAGCCCAGGAGGCTGGCAATTGGCACCCGAGTGCCCCTTGGAGACCTGCCTTCCTGTCTGCGGCGTGTGAGTGACTCACCTCCAGCAGTTCTTACGAAAGTAATTTATCTCTGGGCGTGGCTAGGTGGCCTCAGATGGGCAGCTTTTGTTTATGCCTTATTACGGAACCTGGCCATTCTAGAGCAGAGGTGAGGGGGCCCAGCTCAGAGGCCCCGAAGACCAGAACAGGGCTGCAGCTACCAAGGGGTCCCATCTGGCTGTCCTCGGTGGACGCTGTTAGCCTCCGACTCTGCCATTTCCAGAACAGACAGTTCCCCAGATCTGCTTTGGTTTTGTTTGACTGGGTAGGAATCAGGTAACTCAGTCCGGTTTTAATCTCACAGGAGAGATGACCATGAACTTGTGGGGTCTACACGACTCCACTTCTGCAGTGCTGGGGTCACAGGTACACACCACAGTCCTGGGTTTTGTGGCCTTGGGGAGCCAACCACAGGCAGCTTCCTGAATGCTAAGCAAGCATTCTACAAACGGAGTCCCATCAGCAGCCCGGATTTGTTTGGTTTTGCATTTTTTCCCCCAAAGCCTCTGGCGGAGGGAGGCTCTGACTGGTTGGTGAACACATCTCTCTAATCACACAGCTAGACTCTGCCAGGGTTTCACTCCAGGTCTGACTAACTCCAAAACATGTGCACTTGAGTTGTACCGTTTCCTCTGATACTGAAGTCGGCCGAGGGAAGAGGAATTCCCTTGCCGCCCAGGCCCAGGACAAACGAGATGTCGGCTCAGGGCACCGAGGAATCAATTGCAATCCATTGATCGGAGAGAGCCGGCATGAGGAACCTTTTTTTGATTTACTTTTATTTTCTGCTTATGAATATTTTGCCTGCATATATGTGTGCCACGTGTGCGCCTGTTCCCTTCAGAGGTCAGAAAAAGGCATTATTAGATCCTCTGGAACTCTAGGAACAGAAGGTTGTGAGCCACCGCCACGTGGGTGCTGGGAACTGAACCTAAGTTGGCTACAGAAGCAGCAAGTGCTTTTAAAGGTTGAGCCAGGCAGGAAGGGGTCCTAGGTGATTATGGAATTCTGTCTCTTTAAGAGCCAGCCTATAGGCTCTTCAGAGAATTCCAGGGTCGGGGAACTGGACTGGCTGTGAGGAGCAGCAGAAGGCCTCCTCATTTTCAGCCGGCCTCTCGGTGGCTCTGCTCCCCACCCCCTTATTTATTTCCTGCAATGCGGCTCCCGGGCTCCACTGCTGTGTCAATACTGATAAAAGCAATCGTCCTACAAACAGGTGCAGCTGGGAACTGCCCCTTGGACAGCTGCCAGGGAAATGTGATCGCTCAGCTGGGGTGACCTGCCCCTGCCCAGCCCCCTCTTGGGTTTCAGTCAAGGCAAGTGTCCTTGGGCAGTTCCTGTGGTCTAAAGGTCCAGCTTGGCATCTCAGTTGGCATCATGGACTCACTGGGGTGTGTGCCGATGGGAAGGGGCGGGTGTGCACAGGGAAGAGCGAGCAAGGACTCCAGAGAGTTATCTGTTTTCTCTCTCAGTTTCTTCCAACAAATTCAGAGAGACCGCCTCCTCTCCAAGTGTTTGGCAGTATTTCCCAAGAACACCACCAGCAGATATTTCTAGGTAGGAAATCGTTTTTAATGGGGGTATGATCATGATCAGAATATATTCTACACATGTATGAAAATGTCATAATGAAACTTACTATTATGTATAATTAATATATGCTACTAAAACAAAAAAAGCTCTTCAAGCCGGGTGGTGGCGGCACACGCCCTTAATCCCTTTACTCCTCGGGAGGCAGAGGCAGGCGGATCTCTGTGAGTTCGAGGCCAGCCTGGGCAACAAAGAGAGTTCCAGGACAGCCAGGGCTACACAGAGAAACTCTGTCTCGAAAACAAACAAAAAAAGCTCTTCAAGAAAAAAAAATAAAACATTTTGAATAGTAAAAACAAACAAATCAGTATTAGGCCGGGCGTACTGGCACAGGCCTTTAATTCCAGCACTTGGTAGGCAGAAGTAGGTGGATTTCTTTGAGTTCAAGGACAACCTGGTCTACATAGCAAGTTTCAGGCCAACAAGGACTAAAACTGCCTCCAAAAAAAAAAAAAAAAAGTGATTTTCCCCCCAAGCCACTGGTTTCCAAATCCACACACACTGCCAATGACCTGACCCAAAAGGCATTTCCCGAGTACCCACCGGGGCCTCCCTACAGGATCACCTAAATAAACATTTTTGAGCCATCCTCCGTTATCCACAATGCATTGGGATGCTATCACCAGACTCTGGTTTGAGAGATTATATTTCATCACCCCTCCCCCACTTGTGTTTTGTCCCCCAAGCATCACTTCCCGTGGTCTCCAGGGTACCAGCCTCTCCGGAAATACCCTGGTTGGGCGGGTAGCCACTGCTCCCAGAGGACAGGCCACGACAAGGCTGGGGGAGCTGAGCCGCGGGGCGGGCCTGGCTGAGGACAGGGGCGGGTGCCCCGGCTGTCGCATGTCGCCCGAGTTGCTCGTGGGAGGGAGGAGGTTGCTATGCAAATGGTGCGGCCCACAGGGGTGGGGAGAGGGGGGGGCGGCCCTTACCCAGGGGCCCTCTGGTTGCCAAAACAGGCCATTCCCCCAGAACAGTCGCCTGGAAACGGGCGGGCGCTGTCATAGCAGCCTCAGCGTAACGGTGAGCCGGCCTGCTGCCAAGCAAGTGCTGGGTCAAGATGTGCAGAATTCAGCATCTCTCTCTCCTCTCTCTCTCCCTTCCCACCAGTCTGCACCTCGGGGAAGGGCGTGGCGGCTCAGCCTCCACCAGAGAGGAGGGGGCAATAATTGGATTGGATCGCTCCAGAAACCCATCAGCTGCTCTTCTCTGGGGACAGGGGCTTGTGCGGGAGGCTGCAGACGGTCTTTGTGATAGGTCTCAGCCCCTCTCGCTCTGCTGCCCTGCCCTGACCTGGTGTGGCTGGGCCTGGTCGGCCTTCCCTGGTCTGGGACGCAGCGCAAGCTCCCTATAGGCCAGAAGAAGCAGGCGTCCACCATGTAATCAGCAGAATGGAATTCGGCTCTGATGGACAATGTGGGTGATGGGTGGGGAGATCTGACCGGTTGGAGGGGCTGGGAAGACAGGGATGGCCTGCGGTCACCAATCAATGCTTATGTACTTCATTCTTCCAAAACCTTGTCTGTCTGTCTGTCTTTAAAATTATGTGTCTGGGTGTGTGGGTGTGTGTATACACAAGTACACACGTGAATGCAGGCTTGTCAGAGCCCAGAGGTGTCAGGTCCTCGGACTTGAGCTGGGGTCCGGTGCAAGAGCCGTATGCTTTACAACTGCTGAGCCCACTCTTCAGCTGCTGCGGTTTGGGGGTTGGGGGTTATGTTGTTTTGTCTTGTATTTTGAGACAGGGTCTTTCTCTGCAGCCCTGACTGGCCTAGAACTCACTGTGTAGACCAGGCCGATTTCAAACTCAGAGATCCACCTGCCATTGCCTCCCAAGTGCTGGGATTATCACCACTACCATCACCGTACCTGGCTAAGATTTCTTATTTTTTTGTTCCTCTGTGTGGACATCAGATCCCCCGAAGCTGCAGTTAAAAGCCATTGTGAGCCACCTCGGGTGGGTGCTAGGAACCAAGCTCTGATGCTCTCTCTACAACAGCAGTAAGTACTCTTCACTGCTGGACCGACTGTCTCTCCAGCCCCAGGATACACCCTCAACTCCCTCCCACAGCTCCATGGGACCCAGGGCAGGTGTGATGGTTCAGGCCTCTAATTCCAGCAAAAGGCGTTAGGAAGATCAAGAGTTCAAGGTTATCCTAAACTACAGGTGAGTTAAGGTCAGCCTGGCCTGTATGAGACTCTGTTGCAATAATATAATGAAGCCATCCCATATCTGTCGGAGAGTAAGCTAAGCCATAGTTCGGGTGACATTTGTCATGTCTCATGAGATCAGCATCCTTTGATCAACTTTCTTGTATGTGTCATAAATCCCACTTCCCCAAAGTAAAGGACAGAAATTGACTTTCCCAGACATCTTTGCAACTAAGGTGTAGGCATGAGACCTAGATTCCACTAGTCAGAGGCATGAGTGTGAGGTTTTGATCTGGGAAAGGGCAAATGAGCAGATATGCATTCTGGGGAAAGAACTTCAGGAGCCTGGGCCTCCAGAGCAGCAGGAAGGCTGTCAGGATGCTCGGCAATCCAGCTGCGTCACAGCTGGGGCAGGAGAGGTGCAGCAGCCTGCAGATCAGGCTGGCCTTGAACTCAGAGATATGCCAGCTTCTGCCTCCTGAGGGCTGGGGAGCAAAGGTGTGCAGCCCCACTCCCAGCCAAGATTTAAGTCTGTGTGTGTGTGTGTGTGTGTGTGTGTGTGTGTGTGTGTGTGTGTGTTTGCGCACACACGAGTGCAGGTGCCCTCAAAGTCGAGAAGAGGCATCAGATCCCCTGGAGCTGCAGTTACGGGCAGTTGTGATCTGCCCCACCTGGGTGCTGGGAACTGAATGTGGCGCCTCTACAAGAGCTCTTCCCGTCGAGACATTTCTCCAGCTCCAAGAGTTTGTGTGTTTCTTTTCCTTCCTCCCTCCCTCCTTCCTCTCTTTTCCTTGATGGGAGGATCTGAACTCGGCTCCTCACCCTGGCACAGCGGACTCGTCACCAGTTGAATCCTCTTCTTCCTAAGCTACCTCTTTCTTTTTCTCAATGTTGAGGACTAATAATAACAAATATTAGAGCTAAATGCTATGCACACGAGTAATCACAGCACCCAGGTAGCCGAGGCAGGGAGATCAGTAGTTCAAAGACAGCTTTGAATACATAGGAGCCCAGTCTGGGCTACACGAGCCCCTGTCATAAAAATGGGGGGCGGGGGAAGACCTCAGCAAGACAGGTGCAGAATTTCTGTGTGTGATGAGGTCAGCTGGGGACTTGGAAGCCAGCTCTAAAAACTGGACTACAACCCAACCACTGAGCAGTACTCTAGCCCCAGCAAGTTCTAACCCCGCCCCCACCCCACCCCACCCCCACCCACTTGTCTTCTGAATCCAGTGCTGGCCACCGGCCTCTCAGGCATGCACTGGGCTCATCATGCCTTGTGACATTGTCCTGACTGTTACTCAACAACCCCATTTTACCTTGAGCAAGGAGGACACATGTACCCTGACTCATCTATTGTTCCGCCCTCTCCCAGCTCTGGCCTCCATGGCACTGACTGTCCCTTGGCTGGCATGTGCTAGAGCCTTGTTCTACAGCTCCTTCTCACAGGGCATGTCTGTCATCCGCTGCCCAGCAGAGCTGAGGATGACAGTTCATGTAACCTTTGCAAGCTGGATTTCTCACAGCCTTACAGAGAAGCAGGGCTTTACTTATGGATGAGAATCAATTTTTTGGTTGTTGCTGTTGGTTTTAAAGATTTATTTATATTTATTTATTTATTTATTTTGGTTTTTCGAGACAGGGTTTCTCTGTGTAGCTTTGCACCTTTCCTGCATCTCACTCTGTAGACCAGGCTGGCCTCGAACTCACAAAGATCCGCCTGGCTCTGCCTCCCGAGTGCTGGGATTAAAGGTGTGTGCCACCACCGCCCGGCGAGATTTATTTTTAATTGCACGTATATATGTGTGTGTGTGCGTGGGTGTGCCCATGGAGTCCAGAAGAGGGTGTTAGACCTCCTGAGCTGGAGTTAAAGGTGGCTGTGCACCCTGATGTGGGTGCTGAGGACTGAATTTAGGTCCTCTGCAGAAACAGTAAGAACTCCTAACCAAAAGTTGTTAGTTGTTTCTCAAGCATGGAAATCCTGTTCTTCATTTTCACATTGACTTTCTCCAATGAGATGCTCAGCTTCCCTAGGGAGAGTCCTTTGTCTCTTCCTCTGGCTGGTGGTGTGCCTGACACCGATGAGATTGTCAGGTCAGAGCTGTGGAAAGGCGCATTCCTCTGGCCCTTTATAATGTATTAATCCAATAACAAGGAGATTCAGGATGTGTGGGTAAGTGGCATAAAACCTCTGGTGTTTACATGTACAAGAAGAGGGATTGACTTGGGCCAGCAAAATCTGCTTTAAAGAAAAAGCCCATCTGCCAGGCGGTGGTGGCGCACGCCTGTAATCCCGGTACTTGAGAGGCAGAGCCAGGCGGATCTCTGTGAGTTCGAGGCCAGTCTGGTCTACAGAGTGAGTTCCAGGAAATGCGCAAAGCTACACAGAGAAACTCTGTCTT